GGTTTATCCTCTTAAAAGGTGAGAGTACATCTCAAATTATTCTGTTTAATGGTTTAAGAACAATCACCTCCTAGCTTATAATATTAACATCTCCAGATTAATCGGAAAAAAGAAGAACACACATTTAATGGTGTTCTGCCACGTGAAAAACACACAGAGACAACATATACAAATAGCACACAGGATTATAACCAAAATAGAAAACACTATGTATGAATATTACTCAAATACCCATAAGAAGAAAGAGGCATCATTGAATAGACAAAGAATTGGTTTTGGACAGAAGCAGCATAGACTACAGCTTTTAAAAGAGAACGTTTTGGACAAGACCATGTATATCTGCAAAGCAGCAGCAATGGCATTTAGTTTAGTCCTTCCACCGACTGAGTTCACCAACTAAGGAATGTATTAAAATATGAGGGGAGGCCAGTTAAAATTGTATATTAACCATAAAGATTAACAAAGAGCTAAGCATTTCAAGTTTCACAATTACACCTCAGATGCTGGATGTGTGTGAGTTGACTAAATCATTGGCTCTGACCCAGCAAGCCAAATAAAATCCCAATGAGCCAGTCAGTCCATTCTTAAGAGACCATTGTTTTTCGGTCAGTGATACGAAGAAAGGACACTCCCTGTATAGCACACAACATAAGCCACTTGAATAACACTAAAATTAGGGTCTGAACAGACATGGCTAATTAGATAACACCATTCATGCCTGCAGAAGTAAGTTTCTCACAAAGATATTTTAATGAGCTGAATTTTCTTGCAAAGATTAGGTTCTAGCAGTAAAATGCCATCATTAAATGTGTTCCTACTGACATGCTATCAAAACCAAAGAATGTGGTGTGTTGTGTCCACAAAGAGTATCTTCTCTGGATTCAAAAACCATGACATGGTCAAATGATGGTAAATGAATAACTATATGGATGGAGCAAAAAATCAGGATCTATAAAATATTTTCTGTTTGCTTAGACTAGACTTACAGGGGTGGACAACAGTATGTTTTCAGTTGTAAACACCTGAAACAGTTTATTTTTATATTATTATTTATCACCTACTAGAGGCCCATTGCACGAAGAGATTCGTGCAATAGGCCTTCCCTTCTCCTGGCTGCCGGCACCGTTTTTCCTCTGGCACCCGGGACCCAGGCCTTCCCTCCGGCCGGAGCCTTCAGTCTTGGCGGCTCCAGACAGACAGAGCCTTCAGTCTTTGCTCCGCCGCTTTGCCCCTACGTATGCAAATTAACCACCACCTTTGTTGGGTTAATTTGCATACTCTCCTGATTGGCTGCTGAGCATAGCGGAGGGACAGTTAATTTACATGTTTGTCTATTATTAGGTAAGATTGTATTATTTATTTGTATTACAGCTGTAAATCTACTTTTGCCCACCTGTATATATAATAGTTGATTAAAATACTGTGTTTTCATATGTCCAATGAATTAAAAATAAATTTTGTTTTCTAATCAACATAACTCATAAATAAAATTCTTCAAGAGACTAGCTAAGTAGCATATAGTGCAATGGATGAAATTACTGAGGCAGTTATCTGTCCTTTGGAATTATAGCATGATACTCAACATTCCCAACTCCAAGGATCCATATTCCATGATTTATTAGTTTTGCTTTTCATAGAGTTGATAAAAACTGTGCTATATTTGTTCTAGAAATAGCAAAAACATCTAACTTTTTCTGGGCTCACATGGCAGGAATTACTTAATATGTAACAAATTAGAGGAATCACCATTTCCCCCAAGCACAAACAGAGGGATTTGAATTCACTAAGCAAACAGCCTCCTAAAAGATCTGTTAATATTAAAGCATTTTAATAATTGTTTAGTTATTAACCTGATTTTTTTTAAATGGTAAAAAAAATAAAAACTCATCAAAAAAATAAAAACATTAGTTCACAAAATCATTCATCTTACTTTTTTCAACAAGGTCTACATGGTTTTAAAAGTATGCCTTTAAAATTTCAGTTAGGTTTTACCAAGGCAAATTATGTTAAAAATGGTATTCAAGGAAGAAATTATATAAATGAAATTATTTAACTGCATATATAACTTTTGAATTAGTGTAAACAAAATAAGCCTGTGAAATAGCATTACAATACTACCTCGTGCCTTTTCCTATTTCTAATGAAAAATCCTGCTTTTAAATTTATGCAAACCATTCAGGTTTTCATTATAATAGGCCCAGATGTATTATTACCAAAGGTTAGACACTCTTTTCTTTCTTTCTATTACAGGTTGCAAATTCCAAAACAACAAAACTAATTCAGAAGTCAGTATTCTGAACTAGATGTGAAAAATAATCTTGACTATAACCACCTGATATTCATGATTCATAGCCAATTGCCAAGGCTCAATCTTGCTGACCATATTAGCTAATAGGTTCTAGGACTCAAGATTTTTAAGAAAAGATAAAATGTCAAACTTGCGCAAATGGTCTCCGTATTCATTTACTTTCAGAAGAGAAGTTAGGTTTTGCATTTATTATCTTATTTTACTCTGTTATGTTTTGATTTCAAAAGGGAGAATGTTTCTTTCGTGATAGAAAAAAAATGTTCCAAACATCTCATAAGTCTCATATTTTGCTCAAAAACATATATATTAAAAATTAGCTCAACAATAATCTCTCTCCTAAATTTGATCATGTCTATGGCTTGTCAAAAGCCATTTTTGAAAATACAGTTAACCCATTCCCTTTCAAAAAATAATTAAAAGTCTTAATATCAAACACTGCTTTTTAAGTGTCAGAGACAAATACTTGTGTAACGAGTATTTTTCAGCATTTGAAAAATTCTGTAAATGGTTTCATACTGATAAGATAAATACTGACATGCTATGCAGTGAAGAGTAGCTCAGAACAGAGAACTGTAAATGCAGGTTATTGCTTCCTCTTATTTTTTACAATGTGAATTCTGGTTACAAAGAATCCTACATTTCTAAAATGAATATAACTGACACTTTAAATCTCTCTATGATTTTATAACTTAAAGTCCTGAGATCAAGTGCTGATCAGCTTCAATTTTTATAAATTTAAACAATGAGAAATATCCACAAATATAAAAAGCAATTAAACTTCTATTAGAAAACCTGGACCAACTATTTTCCTATATTTTCACATTGAATATTCTGGTGAGTAATATTTTAAGATCAAGTTCGAGTTTCCTGAAAAAGACATCAATTTCATATAGTCAAGCTGTGACTATAAAATCACATGTAATCAATAAACAGCAATAATATTTCATAAAAATACTCTGAATTGGTTGCTATTCATCTGAGAGCCTCAGTACCACAATTAAAATGGTCGCTTAATACAAACAACATTGAACAAGTGAAATATATTCAAAATCAATAAAGAAGTAATAAAGAAGTAGTAAAAACATTAATAATAAGTAACTGATATGGGAACATGAGGAACGTCTTCCATTCCTACTTTACAAATATGAGAAACAGAGAGAATTAAATGATCAGGTTATTTAACACCCACTGAGTTCTTATAGAAGGATCTAGAGAAAAATGTAGGAAGCCACAGGCTAAAAATCTTGACCTTAGTAATAGGAGACACACTGAAAATTCTAATAAGGACAGAACAAGGGAACACCTGGACAGTTATTTAATTAAGTATCTCAGCATGAGTTATAAAAGAGATATTGGGATGAGAAATTATTCCAAGATTTAATTGTAAAGGTTGGCTGTCAAAAATACCAGAGACATTCCATTTCCTCTGCATTTGGACCCTTTACTTTGAAAGATATAGACTTGGGTATGAAATATAGAATCAGAACTAATTTTAAAACAACCATCCCCACAACAAACCACTGGTTAAAACCTCCTTATGAAGATAGCCAAATCAGGTACAGGTACTTCTTCAGGCACTTAATCTTTATTTTAAATGCAGTGAGTGCTACCTGAGACGCTAAGTATGATTAACAAAAATGAAGCAGAATCTACGATAAAATCACTAGCTTTCATCAGTAAGGAAGAAGTTTGAGTAAGCTACGATATCATGTGAATGTTTTCTTAAGAATACAGGAAGGTGTAATAATATTAATCTCAAGGAAAGGAATCATGTAATTCAGAATATACTGCCCCAACTAGGCTGAATCGCAGATCCTGGTGGTTAGAAAACAGCCACAGCAGCCAACAGAAACCACAGAGGCTGTGGTGGGTACATATAACTCTGGCATCGGTATTCCTGAGTATTAATCCCCAGACAACCATACCTATGCTCCTATTCAGAAATGGAGACCAATCCCTTACCTATCACAAATAGCTGTGAGTTGAATTCACCACCAAGTGTCTAAAGGAAAGACAGAAATCAAAATTCCTTGCCATGCAATTGTCATCATGATCTATAGACAGTGTTACCCTGCCACAACAAAAAAGAGAATTTCTAAATTGTGTTACAATGATTCAGAAACAAGTTATTCTTCCTTTCTAGACTATAAGCTCCTAAAGACAGACAATTATTCATTCGTCTTTATATTCCCCTCAGCATCATCTAACAGAAATGCAACTGATATCTGTTAAAGAGCTAATCAATTATTACCAACCTTTTCCCAGGTCATAAGATTCTTCTCATAACTGGCCCAAACAGAGAATCCTAACAAGTAAACAAGCACAGGCTTCTCCCCATGATACTGTTAGATGGTGAAATACAAAGAGAAATTGGTTTGTGGCAATCAAAATAGCATGTGTATGCTACCTTGGAAACCACTAGGTTTCCACTAGGTTCTGTCAGGCAAATGGCAGAAAGAAAAGAGATAAGGTTTTTTCCCTGCATATGCATCACGTCACAAAAGAATGCTTTAGACCACCACTTAGTTGATATTTCCTGCATCCACTTATACCATGGAACACAACATCCTTGATAGTAACTACATCGGTGCTGTTTATAAGGGAGGGGTGCATTTGCAGCATTTTAAATTCCATTTTCAAGGAGGAAAGTCTCTGAGTATATAATCAGACGAGAGTAATAAAATACACTGACCTGGATCTGTTGCTGCAGGAGATTAATTTTGTGCTGCTGTTGCAGAAGTTGCTGCTGTTGTCTTGCAATCTATCAGAAATAAAGTTACATTAAGTTGAAATGAAATGCTTACACCTTTGCCATTACCTCAGGTATCTCTCCTGGTATTACAAGAAAGCTTTACTGCACTTCTATGTGAAAGAGTTCCTATAAAGTGAGAGAGGCAGAACCAGAAAGTTGGAGAAAAGGAAAATTTCAAACAGATGCCACTTCTCTGTGTACCCCTAACTCTTCATCTGCAGTTGAGAACTACCCCTCGTACATTAGTGAGCAACTCCTCTATCTGCACCCATTACCTGGAAAGAATGGGAGTTTCAAAATCTGACCCTTGAAGAGTAAATATGGAAAAACTATGGCTATGTGTTTCTAAAGAGCTTAATTTGGACTAAAAAGGTAAAATCTGAATGCAGAGACAGGGAAGAACTTTTTATTAATTATAATACAATTGACTTTGGTGAAACCTTTTCTGACATAAGGACTCTCAGTACTGATAAGACAAATATCGCCAAGGGAATATCAAGAAAACACAGCAAAATGTCAAAAATCATTACAAAGATCTCTTTTTGTTGATTTACAAATGTACATCAATGATGTGATGTACAAAGCATTTTAAACACAAAATTTAATATTTATCTAGTTATTCTTCTGAGGGTACTGTGTTACAGTCTCTTGCTTCACCCAACAATCAAATTCAAAGTCCTAACACATCATCTGGTCTAGGAAAAGAAATATTAACCTCTTCATGCAAGCCTCACTGAAGACTGCATCTGCCCCTCAAGAGAGCAAACAACTTCTTTAAGATAGTGGTGTTTACTATAAAACATGAAGGCATCAGTCTGCTTATTGCCTTAAAAGCTGAGCTGAGGGGGATTCCCCTTAGAATACACTCCAACCTAGAAAGCCAGAGAGAAAGTGGCCAGGGAGGACTTAGGAAAACTTTTAGTGGTGCCCTTTAGGCAAGAGGTATAGGTATGGGGTTGTTTTTTTGTTTTGTTTTTTGTTTTTTTTCCTATTTTTTTTCTATTTCCAGAAGCCAGTATTCTAGAATGGGCAATGTGGGAAGTGAAAACAAGGGTGTATCGACCCTCAGGTTTATGCTTTGAGTCTTTTTGATGCTTTAGCCTAGAGCAGAGGGAAACACCCAAATCAGATTTTCATTCAACAGAAGATGACAAAATAGCAGTCTGATACCAAATGTTGCTTTAAGGTTTCTGGTAATGACTAGCTCATTCTGGAAGTCATGACAAAACTGTCCCTAACAGTGTGAGACATGGGACCATTCCTTCCCAAAGCTTTATAAGCAAACTGGAAACGATATTTAATCAGATTGAAAAGGCCCACTTTACTTGTCACCATTCAAATCAGAAAAGGACGTAGTGGTTTTTTGGGGGATGGGTGAAAAAGGTGAAGGGATTAAGAAGTATAAATTGGTTGTTACAGAATATACTGCAGATGTAAAGTACAGCATGGGGAATATAGTCAATAATTTTCTAATAACTATGCATGGTGTTAGATGGGTATGAGAATTATTGGGATGATAACTTAGTAAGTTATATAATGTCTAATCACTGGGGTATACACCTGAAACTAATATAAATTTGTATGTCAACTGTAATTGAAAAATAAAAATGATTTAAATTAAAAAATTGTTTTTAAAAAAGGAAATGGACAACTCACTCTGTGATTCTAGGTTTAGATGCAGGATCCTCTGAATATTTATTTCCTCTTAGCAAACCAGTGAAACACCACTAGGCATCTAATATTGATGGTCCCTCCTAAATGATAAAGTGCTGCACAGAAATGCCTCTAGAACACCACAGTGCAATTACTATCATCCACTTTAGACGTGTGGGTTTGACACAGTGAAGTATGGTACATAAGCACCATGTGGCTCAAATTCTGAATTTTATTTGCCAATAGGTTGAGCTACATGCTCGCTTCATTGAGCATGACAACCTAGTTTTAAGTGTCATTTAATTTTCATTTTGAAATATAATTACAAAGTGTTCACTGTAAGATATCACTCGTCTGCAAATGTGTCAAGATTAATTTGTGCTAGCTTATTCACAAGTGTCAATAGTTAATTACTGTGTCATCTCTGGATGGCTAAATGACATTCTAACTTCTGATTTTTTACAGTGTTCCTTTATGTTATTTTCCATTAGGGGCTGAGTCCATATTCCTACACGTGGGCAAATATTCAAGCATATAAAATACCAGACGTCACAACTCATTAAAATCAACAGAGCATATATTGCTCTATATACCCCTATAAAATACATTTAACTGAAAAGATAATTCCAGTAATAATGTCAGATTCCTAAAAACTGCACATTAATTTGGGTCTGTCTGATCTAAAGCACCAGGGACTACTCTATAGGATCACTGTGTTAGATTAATGTACTCTTATGAGACAGGAAAAACATTTGGGAGAGCGATTTATTTAAAAACATATACATTTAAACTTTGCTATTTTTTCTTCTTTCTCACTTCTAAATCAATGAAATAAAATTCTTATAGGAGCCATGTGCTAATTATTTTTCAATGATTTACCTGTGCTATAAATAGAGTGACCATATAATTTAGCATCCAAACCAGGACAACTTTTGCAAGTGGAAGGGGGATTATTAATACTTATTTTGGAAAACAGGCATTAACCAGGGCTATTCCGGGAAAACAGATGTGTGACCCTAGTTTTAAAGTCAGAGAAAAATCATTGGATCCGTGGGCTAGAAGGTCCTCAAAGTTTTCCTAAACCAGAAGCCTGTTTTTCTGGATGAAACGAGTAAGGCCCAGAGAGAAGTGACAAACTCATGGTTAAGCTACACTGGGAGTCTATGTGCTGCCTGCCTATGTGAATCAGCTTCCCTGAGTAATTGATCCCATGCAAATGTTCTGGAAGCCGTTATCGTTTCAGTTATGACCAGTTGCTATGATGCCTTTCTTTGTCCTCTACATATCCCCCTCAGTATTCTCAAAGAACCTGATTTCCAACAGGCTTCTTTCTTTCCTTCTTTTTTCAGGCACCCTTCTGACAAATAAACCAATCAATGTGATTACTCGCTAAGCTTGGCACATTCCACATCTCCAGTTCGTCAGCTCCCTTTGCAGGGCTCACCTGTTCTTGCTGTTGGCGAGCAAGGTCCATTTGTTGCCGTTGTTTCTCAATTTGTGAGGCTGCCAGTTTTTTCTGCTCATCATGCGCTGCCAGGAGTTGCTCCCGTAAACTGATCAGCTGGGTAATCATGGTAGAGAGCTGCCGTTCTTTTTCTGCCAGGCTCTCAGGTGTACCTACAATGGAAACAAGAAGATATCTCACAAGTTTGAGAAAAGTATGAATGAACTGGGGAAATGGTGGGAGGAGGGCAGGTTTAGAAAGGACCTGCCCTACCACACTTAAAGATCTGGGAGAATAACTGGAGGTCATTGTGAGTGCAGGAACACTACAGAGTAGCAATGGAATTGATGCTAGGGTTAGTCGCTGCCCTTGCCAAGAGCAACTATTGTTCCCAATATAATTCTCCCTCACTCTTCCTTCTCCCTTTCACTCTTAAAAACAAAACAAAGCAGAACTACCTACCATATTCTTTCCCTTTCACCACACCTCTCTCCTTTCCTCCCCCAAACCTATCAGATCAAGTTAGGAAACAGATGATACTTAGCACCAAAGGTTAGAAACTATGGGTTGTATTAATATTCTCTACCCTCAGTGACTAACGTAGGCTCGAAGACATAGGTAGGTGCTTAGTAAATGTTATCTAAGGAATTTTCTGGTCATTGTTGCCCTCATGAAATTTTTCTATTGTGCAAAGATCTGTCTCTGATGCTCAGAAGTCAGGGGTCGCTCTCTTGGCCATGAAACAAACAAACAAACAAGCAAACAAACAAACAAAAAACGGCTTTGCCTTAGGTAAGAAAGGATTGAACCTGATTTTTGTTTTCCTGTGAGGGGATCAAGCTAAAGTTCCCAAGTTCATCCTTAAAGGCAACAGTATTGCTTGGGGGCTCCCTCACCCCTTTGTCATTCGTCATTCTTCAAAAGGAAAAAACACATTCGAGGTTGAGAAGGTTATGCATAAGGATGTGCTGCTTAATGAATATGATGTCAGTGAACACTTATGGTATGCACTAATGGTGCTGAACAGTCTTTTTATGGGCAAATTGCACAGCTCTCCAAAGTAAAGAGTATGGAATCCTTTTGTGAATCTAAATTAGAGCATTTTACTGCAGCATAAGATAAGAATTTCAACCCTCTGTATTTGAGCCACACAGTTTCATTATGAAGAAATGATCTATGATTTGAAAGCTTTTCAGAAAGATGCCACCAGCTGTCAAAGGGGACAAAGATTGCCAATTTTTGTGCGTGTGGAAGAAGAGACTTCCAATCTCCTTATGAAACCCCTTTCATTCCTGCTAAGAGAGCACCAGGGTAAGCTGAAAAGCTAAACGTATTTTATTTAGGAGTGGCCATATTTCCTGAGCAGCCCCTTGGAGAAAGGGAGCCTCAGAAGATGCTGGCTTGCACTCGTTAGTACAGGAATGGGCAAAAGTAGGTTTATAGTTGTTCCTATGGAAAAAAAGACATGCAGGTTATGATTAGTGAGCAGCTTTATTGACTGTTTCTCAGACTCACAACTGTAAAGCTACCTTTGCCCAACCCTGTATATGTTTCCCACAGGTAAGACTGATGTCGGCAATAAAGACTACCTTGAGATTCTCAAGGCCAATTCAAGTCCTAAACAAACTATCAATATCTTTATCCCTTAAAGATTCACTGAGTGGAAGGATGACCGAAAGTTAAAATTAGAAGAAAAATAAGATAGTTGAGATGGTGATAGAAAATGTATTCCACTGATAAAGGAACAAGTAATGTATTAAGGATAGTGACGAGCTGTCTTTCTAGCTATTTAATTTGATTTTTTTTAAATCAGCTTTTATTTCAGCAATAGGAATTTCAACATGGTAAAAGAAGAACTTCTTGATCTAGAAATATATATATATATATATATATATATATATATATATATATATATAAACCCTGGGTGGTGTTCATCACGACCAGAACCGCAACCAGGCGGAAGGAAGTCAGTCCTGCAGGGGTTGTCTTGGCAAAGCTGCGCCCTCCCCCGAGCTGTTTCCCGGAGCTGTTTCCTGAAAGGGCGGGGTTTGAGGCACGAACCCGCCCTGGGAGCATGGAGGCATATCTTTATAAAGTGTGCCGCACCAGCACAGCCAAGGGTGAACCTGAGTGGGGGCGGCTGAAAGGCTTGGAAAAGACAGACAAGAGAATGAAAGCTGGGTCTCGGTGGGATGTTGCTTCTCTGAGAGACAGTGACCACGCCCACAGCCATGCTTTTATTTTATAGCAGATGCTACAAGGCAAAGTAAGGGCGTGACCAAGATGTTTACAACATTCTCCTGGGTTTCAATCCTACTCAACTACATGCACCTGAACTCTATCAAGCCTACATTACTCAGGCACGTGGGGCAACATGTTTGGACCATAGGTTCAAGCTTACAGCTACAGCTGTTGGCTATAATTGTGCTGGGAGGGCCCTGCCCTCCAAGCTGGGACTTGCACATGGCAATGAGAGGACTGTGCCCTCTCATCAGTCCAAGGCTTGAACCTGTCCAAAACACTGTAGCGGCTCCCCACAATAAAGTTTTAATTCTGTTTCTTTGTTACTAATGTTGTGGCCCCACTCCATAACAAAGAAACAATTTCTGGAGGATGAGGCCCAGGAATCAGGATTTTAAAAAGATTCCCAGATTATTCTAATGTGCAGCCAAGGTTGAGAACCACTGCTATAGATAATATTAAAAATATATCTAAACATGCAATTCTTTGTCCAAAGGATGAGCATGTTCAAAAATTAAATGAAGAAAATTTGGATATACTCAATGGAGACTTTCACACATATTTGAGTGATGATTCCATTGATTCCACAGATGATGCTGAAAAGGAAAATTTTCCCATCAAATTTCTTAATAGTATTACTCCTTCAGGAATTCCGTGTCATAAATTAAAATTGAAAGTGGGTGCAATCATCATGCTATTGAGAAATCTCAATAGTAAATGGGGTCTTTGTAATGATACCAGATTTATTATCAAAAGATTATGACCTAATATTATCGATGCTGAAGTATTAACAGGATCTGCAGAAGGAGAGGTTGTTCTGATTCCAAGAATTAATTTGTCCCCATCTGACACTGGCCTCCCATTTAAATTGATTTGAGGACGGTTTCCCGTGATGCCAGCATTTGTGATGACTATTAATAAATCACAAGGACAAACTCTAGACAAAGTAGGCATATTCCTACCTGAACCCGTTTTTGCACATGGTCAGTTATATGTTGCTTTCTCTCGAGTTTGAAGAGCATGTGATGTTACAGTTAAAGTTCTAAGTACTTCATCACAAGGGAAATTAGTCAAGCACTCTGAAAGTGTTTTTACTCTTAATGTGGTGTACAAGGAGATATTAGGTTAAGTTTAATCACTTTATCAGTCATCGTTTGCATCACTGTTGTTTTTATATCATGTTTTTGTTGTTTTCATATCATGTTTTTGTCATTTTTATATCATGCCTCTGTTGTTGTTATATCCTTTTGTTACTGTTTATTTATTAATAAATTTATATATTATTTTCATATACATTTTACGAATTTCCTTTCACCTCTCACACTTCTATTATAGAGAAAGGGCAAATAGCAATTTCCTTTCACCTCTCACACTTCTAATTAATTCCCTTTTTTAAAATAGCAATATTAAAATATCTCCGCTAATTAATTCCCTTTTTTAAAATATATTTTATTGATTTTTTACAGAGCGGAAGGGAGAGGGATAGAGAGTTAGAAACATCGATGAGAGAGAAACATCGATCAGCTGCCTCCTGCACACTCCCCACTGGGGATGTGCCCGCAACCAAGGTACATGCCCTTGACTGGAATCGAACCTGGGACCCTTGAGTCCACAGGCCGATGCTCTATCCACTGAGCCAAATCGGTTAGGGCAATTAATTCCCTTTTAATGTGCATGAATTTCATGCACCGGACTACTAAATATATATATACATACACACACACACACACACACACACACACACACACACATACACACATGGCTAATATGCTAAGTGTCCGAACGTCCGACCGGTCTCTATGACATACACTGACCACCAGGGGGCAGACGCTCAAAACAGGAGCTGCCGTGATGCACACTGGCCATTTACTGACGACAAACAGCACCGCGGACCTGGCACCCACAAAGCAACACTCAGCTTCCCCCAAGTGGGACACAGGCCCCACCACCACCCCAGAGCGACAGTCTACCAAATCGCAGCTGATGCTGCTGAGACCCCATGGCACAAAATGCAGCCCACAGCCCAGAAATAGTTGCTGTGGGCACCGGGTAATGATGTCACATAGCAATGCCTGGCTTCCTCTCCCTAGCAACTAGCCTCCTTGGAGTTTCTGCAGCCCAGGAACACCACTTGCTTTATAGCCAAATGGAAACATTTTACACTTCACCAAATGTCTGTGAAGCATTTTCCCGTGCCTCATCTCATTTGATCCTCACAGAAGTCCTGGAGTAGGTAGATAGAAGACTCAGTGGAATCCTATTTTCTGTTCATTAGCCAGAAAACGGAGGTTTAGAAAGCTTAGAAACTTGACCTGACTGAAAAGAAGTAAGAAATGGTGGACCTTGAAAATGACTTCAGGTTTTCTCACTATGCAGCATATAGTCAAACACTGCTGCAGTTAAATATTTTACCCTTTGTTCTCCCTGCATGATCAACAATAATAATCTGCTTCATGTTGATATTTACTGCTGTGCCACTGACAATTACCTGAAAGAGAAGTTGGGGTGCTTCCCTGGGCTGGAAAAAGTTTAGCTAAATCAGAAAGCAGGTCTAATTAAGCAATTTTATTCTCTATATATAAAAGGCTAAGTTGACTTGTACATGCATGATACATATAAAGCTCTCGCTGGCACCATTCACATACATGTGTTTCGATCTCTCATTGTCGATCATGAATTTGGTTGACACTTCTATTATAGAGAAGGGGTGAATAGCGATATTAAAATATTTCTTCTAATTAATTTCATTTCAATGTGCACAGATCCGTGCACCAGGCCACTAGTTAAAATATAAAATCAGGTTCCCACAGGGCATCAAAAATTTTATTCACAAGCACCACAAGTTCAGCTAACTTATTTGTTACTCTATACTAATAAAAGGGTAATTTGCTAATTAGGCTGGACATCTGGACAAAGCCACAGTGGCAGGGGC